CACTGAACCACTGGTGCGACCATTAGGTGCCAGATGTGAGGCCAACACTTTCGATGGCGAGCGATGCGTCTACGGGTCACTCACTCCGGAGATCAGGAATATCTTAGTGAAGGACTATGTGGTGATCACATCAAAGATCATTCAACGCAACGATTACGACGAGTTCTTACGGAAGTAATGGTTACACGAATGCATAGATCAGTGGCATATGTAGTGATGAATGTGTTGGTCACCCCCACAGGTGTGTGGAAGCGGGCGACTACTTTGATGTGATCTTCTCAGTGCACAGCCATGTGTTTCGTGTGCACCGGTCGGTGCTGTCCGTGTCGTGCGATTACTTCAGTCATATGTTTGCAAACAAATGGAAAAATCGCAAAATTATTTATATTAATCACTCAAAAGTAGTCATATTTGACAAATCACTTCATTATAATTGAATGCATTCTCAATTGAATTGATTGTTGACTCTTAAGGTAAATCCGATGGCTTTCAGACAACTGTTGGTCTACTTATATACGGGTCGTCTCGAAATTAGTCTCAATCTCATAGAAGACGTTAAGCTTGTGGTCAAACAATGCAAACTTCAGCGACTGATGGAACAAATCGATGATTCGGTTAAAAGAGTCAAATNTAAATCCGATGGCTTTCAGACAACTGTTGGTCTACTTATATACGGGTCGTCTCGAAATTAGTCTCAATCTCATAGAAGACGTTAAGCTTGTGGTCAAACAATGCAAACTTCAGCGACTGATGGAACAAATCGATGATTCGGTTAAAAGAGTCAAATCTTTCGGTTGGTCTCACATTATCTGTCAATGACTTCTGCTTTTCAACTAATATTTAATTTAAATGTGTTTAAGAGTGCACTAAACCTGGAACTAATGTCAGTACAATACAAGTGGACTCAGAAACTCATGCATTAGACTTCAATATACTGTATCTGAAATGCATACCAAATGAGTACCACTTTTGGATCGATGGTTCGGAACTTCCATTCCTTATGTCTACTTATATACGGGTCGTCTCGAAATTAGTCTCAATCTCATAGAAGACGTTAAGCTTGTGGTCAAACAATGCAAACTTCAGCGACTGATGGAACAAATCGATGATTCGGTTAAAAGAGTCAAATTCCAACTAATATTTAATTTAAATGTGTTTAAGAGTGCACTAAACCGGGAACTAATGTCAGTACAATACAAGTGGACTCAGAAACTCATGCATTAGACTTCAATATACTGTATCTGAAATGCATACCAAATGAGTACCACTTTTGGATCGATGGTTCGGAACTTCCATTCCTTAGCTGCGACCTGTCGTCCCATCACTTCTTTGATGTCTATTTTAAAGTTGAAGACAAACTCTTCAAATGTCATAAAGTATGCCATTATCACTGAATTTCTAATTTTGAAAACTAAATCTTATTAAATATATATATTTTCGTCGTAATAATTATACTTTATATCATTTGAAGGCATTCTTCTGCGGTAGAAGTGATTACTTTAGAGCCCTAATAGATGATCACTTCTTAGAGGCTCAAAACCAAATTAATGGCATTCAGGTGTTTGAGTTGTACGACATTAGTGTCCATACATTTATGGCAATCGTCTCCTATATCTATCAAAATCATGTTCAGGTTTGTGGCACTAAATATAGTCCATTAATTTGTTATCTCATGGAATACTTGTACCGTATTTGTGATTATAGTTTGACTTCGAGAATGCCTACGAACTCATTGTCATGTCTGACGTGTATTTATTGCCCGGTTTGAAGAGACAGTGCGCTAATTATGTCGGACAACACTTGACTCCTAATAATGTGATCTCTATTTTAATGACATCTCGTTTAATGCAATTAACAAAACTGGAGAGGATTTGCATTGAATATATGGCACAAAATCTGGAAAAAGTATGAATTTCTGTAATTTGAATAAACTTTAACTTAAATCATACCCAAAACGCAGGTAATCGACAGCAAAGAACTAAAGGATCTAATTATAAAAGACGCAGAGGTTTGTACTGTACATGAATTGATCCATAATTGAGTTAACAATAACTTACAACTGTTTTGTACGCCATTCAGGAAGTGAGACAACGACAAGAAACTGATTCCATAGACATAATCGATGAAATAAGATATTACATCACCAGTAATGTGCAGACATTCTCAGCCATGTCTGAAGCCACTGATAGGTTGCATATGATCGACAACCTCTTGGAAAACCTAGGATTGGATGCTTAGATATTTAATGAAATTAATTTGCTTTATATTTTAAGTTTTGGTTTAACAAAAGTTTTAATGAATTGAAAACTAAAAATTGATTGTTAATTGTTTGTTTATTTATGAATTATTAATTTATAAGAGATTTATTTATTTCTGTTTGTTTTGTTGGGAATTAAATAAATGTTTTTTAATTATATACAATAATTGACATTTGTTCATCATAGTTTTAAAGGTATTCATCGAATTTGAACTACTCTAGGTCAAATGGTTACAACACAAAATGCTATTTTATAAGGTTATCATAGTTAGAATAAATGATAGGACTTCCATGATATTGGTAAATGATATAATCTAATACTGTGCTCTGAAACCCATCAGTTTGATTTGTAAATATTTAAATCTAATAATAAGATTCAGTAATTGATTTGACACTAAATTGTAAATAACGATCAATTAAATGTGGTTATCATATGTCAAATCAAAGTGAGAAATACAGTACTGTCTAATAAATTGGAGTATTGCCTCACTGTTGGCAATATTGGGCACAGTATTATATGTGAACTTCATTGTGAAGGCATACACAATGAGTATCATTCACAGTGAGTCTCACACTCACTGTGAGACCACAACTGTAACCATAGTGTGATTGTTTTGGTGGCAAATGTCTTTCATTGACTCAATCCACTGAACATATGTCATGACAGGTGACCATTCATTGATTCCAGTGATCATATAGTAGACACGCATCAGTGACAGCCATGGATCAGATATATTCGGTGTTTCGCCACAACTACAGCCCAAACAACGCCTTTAGTGATGGGTTTGTGTCCATCAATGGTTTGATTGCTATTCTTCGGTATTAATGATATGTTTGATTGTCTTGAAGTGTTGCCCAATTGAGTCCATTGTGTTGTATATCGAGTGGTAATCTGATGGCCTTCACATCGACTACCGATTTGAATGACTCGACCGCCAAATGGTTTGCTTTCCACGTATTTGTCGTCGACCTCAACATCCCTTTCAATCCATTCAAGTATTGATTGATTTGATGACACTTTCAATGTTTAGTCATTTGTTTAACGATTGAATGTTTGACTGCAGAGTGAGCTCTCATTTGGAAGAGATTACAGCTCTTGAGTGGGATATAAGCGGAACAAAGCTATTGATCGGTGATGTGATCGGAAACATAGAGTTGTGGTCAATGAGGGACTACCTCTTGAGTGACTGGTATTTATTAGACGTCCATCACTTCTCCGGCGAACGAATACTGTCTGCCATTTGGTTTCACAACGGAATCAAAATAGGGATCAATAACGACAAGAAGGACCAGAATGTGTCATATCTGGACAAATACACGCACACGAAGTTCGCCGCATCCGTCCGACAGTTTGGCGGCAAACCCACCGACGGGTATATTGCTATCTCGAGCTCAGGACTCGTCTGTTGCTGTCTATTCCTCTCAGACGGCACTGTCGTCTCGGGAATGGAGATATTGGGTCAGTTCAGGACTAAACTCAAACGCGTCGACGTCTGCTATGCAAAGAACGGCGATTTCCTTGTGGTCACCACTAATGGATGTGTCGACTCATCCATCAACTGCTATGGAGTGACAGTTAAAGTCAATGTCTGCAGTAATTCACAGGAAAAGCAGAAATGTTTGATCACATGTCAGGCCTACACCAGCTTTTATATGAGTTGCTCCAAAGCACTCGCATCTGACGCCTACCGATCCGTTACTCACATTAAGTTTGTTCTGCGAGAAGCAGCCGAAGCTGTAGTGATCGCGGCTTCCGGTTCGTCGGGATCTACTGTCGAGTTGTGGGAATTACGAGAAAAACCAGTTTCTATTCATAAAATGTTTCAGAAAAACAATACTAATATTGATTTGAATGCCGGCGCCAGCACTGGACCCAAAACAGTGGTCTGGCAGCACAACACCAGCAACAACGCGTCCTCTATTGTGACCTCCATTGCCACTCCAAGACTCTCGTTGTTTGATACCAGTCCTCCGCCCTCTTATATATTGGTTGCGTTTAAGGACAATACAATCAAATGCTTTTATAGAGAGAATTTGCAATTAGTTGCGAGCGTCGGGTTAGCAAACACTCACATCCGGACTGTCGACACAAACAAAACGTTTGGAATGCAGAAGATGTCTTCAACTATACCCTCAATCACTACAATAGCGGACATGCAGTTCACATGGAGTAGCTGTGCTATGGTTGCCATCGACTCACTCTCGCAAATCTATTTGTATAAACTGTCGCCAATCACAGAACCCGGCGGTCAGATCACTGCCAACTACGCGCAGACAATGCTTGAGTACTGTTTAGTGTCTGGCAATGACTGGTGGGATATAATCATTAGCTTACGACCCAATCTCATCGATAGTGTCTGTGAGAAGATTACCGAAACTTTTATGAATAAACAACAGTTAGAGTTACAACAGAAATGGTTGAGTCGTTTCCTGACGATTAAGGCCTCTCTCTATAGATGTCTGAACACTAGTAGTGCTAATAATAGCGGTCAGTGCAAAGCGGGTGACTTCTACACATTGATTATGTTGAACGCCATCGCAACCACTCTTAAGTCACTTCTCAGACCCCGCGATAACACTGAGAATGAGGGACCGGCTGAGAACCTCAGTCTTCTCATCCAGAATAAGGGCAATGACTTACAGTTCATGAAAGTGGACACCATTCTCATCAATCTGGACAATAAGGACTTCTGTGTTGAAGCGCCAATACTACAGTCTTTCCAACATTTGCATCAATGGATTGCAGACTTAACTCTCTATTTATTGGCGTCATTACCACAACAGTGTCATCACAACCAGTTTAGATTTCCTGGCGTATGATTCCTCTGATTGTACTTTCATTTTCAATCAATGCTAACCATTTGTTTTCAATCAAAGGGTGGACTCATATTCGACACGAAGGCGTTGAACACATTGAGAGAACTTTTGGTGATAATTCGTTTGTGGGGTCTAATCAACTCCGGATGTCTTCCTGTGTTCACCAAAATGGAGAACGATTTGGACGTCATTTCCCTTCTTTTCAAACTATTGTCTAAAACAGTGACTGAAAAACTTGATGAGAAACTTCTGGACGAGTGTTGTCTCCTTCCAAATCAAGTACTTATCCCTCATTTAGATCTTTGCTTAAAAGCCGTTGGCGTTGCGAGTCCAGCGCTCTTCAGCAACGCTCTTCCCATGCAATTCGAGTACTTCTCTGAGCCGTCGTTCTTGAAATTCACTGCAAAAACGCATTCAATTGACGGCGCCATCAACTGTTATGCCGGCCGTCGTATAGATGTAGTCCGTTATGTAGGACTGGGAGCTATCAATCAGGAGTCATCTAATCTGCGGTCGTGTTCGCGCTGTAATGCCGTCTCATTGCTTAAGCCTATAATGCGTTCGCCGGCCACCAGAGCATGGGATCAGCGATGGATTAAGAACTGCTTATGTGGTGGACACTGGAGGGTCAACACCACTTCATAACACACAGTACTTTCATTTGAATTATCAAACTTTATTTATTCATTTCTCTCGTTTAACTCATTGTATTGTATTTACTGTATTACAAATTCTTTCTATTTTAAGCAATTATGTACTTTTGTAACATAAGTTAACATTTCTTATTTAAATTCAATATTTACATTTATTCATATTTTCAAATATCGTAAATTAGGGAACTTTGTATGCATTAAATTGAGTTAACTTAAAATTAAAGTGTAATAAAAATGGTTAATGAACTTAAAAACATTTTCCTTTCATGCACTGATTGGTGAATTCAATTACCGTATAAGTTATTGAATCCACATTTCAAAAGTTTTCTCAATCAATATTCTCTTCAAATTCCTGACCATTACCACTGTATACAGTGTTTGATTTATGTTGTCAATTGTGTGCCATCATTGTTTTAGAAACTAATACACAAGTCTATTGGATAAACCTTGTCAATTCAATTACTGTATATTTTACTGTAAGTACTGTCAAAGAATTGGTGAACAAGTTTAGTGGACTAGTGCTAACCTAGTCATAAGTTTGTGTTCAAGTGCATGGACTGGTCATTGAACATTGTTGATTTGTTCACTTCACTTGTAATATTACACCAAATTGTCATGCTAATTGATATTAGTCTAATATGATTATTAAGTTAACCAAATCTATTACAGTTATTAAGTGCATGGACTGGTCATTGAACATTGTTGATTTGTTCACTTCACTTGTAATATTACACCAAATTGTCATGCTAATTGATATTAGTCTAATATGATTATTAAGTTAACCAAATCTATTACAGTTATAGCTTAGTCTTACTATAAATCTATTCTAACCGTAAGAATATTGACAATATTGTTGTCTGTGTTGTCGTAATATTGGACATCATTTATGAACGCAATGAACACACACTTCAATAGATGTTTGACTCAATGCATGACTCAATCAAATCCAATGACAACTAATTCAATGCAATCGACACTCAATTGAATACACTTTGTATGCATTAGTGAAGCAAAGCATCACTTATTAGTCTAACCATTCATTTGACAACAGCTGTGATCGCATGTGTGGCCATCGGATCCACAATCACACCATCGATTGCTTCTGAGAACAAGTGGACAATCACTTGATTCGTGTCCATCTGTCACATCACTATCACTTTCCCTCAGTTTTGGTGTCTCTTTTGACTCATATTTTATAGCTATTTAACGGCCGAAGAGTTTATCAAAAGTGTCACAAAGTGTGGTATATATTGATTGTCTTAATTTATTTTGAATGTATTTTCACGTGATTTCTATTTAGATGTTATCCTTAAATGGACTTTGAAGACAAGTATTGAAGAGTTGGACACAATTTGGACACAAATGGGTTCTTTATTATCCATATTTAGAGTATGTATTGATTGTATGATTACTTGATCACATGTCTTGTAATTATATCTATAATTAGACTTTAAGTTACAGTAAAATGAGTTCACTCTGGAAACTAATTGCACTCTAGTTATGGATAACTAATGAACTCATTATTAGAAAATAAAAGTTATGTAAAACTGATGACACGTATTGCTAACATTTGGTGTGATTTCAGGCAAAACGGGACACAAAAGCCTTATTGGAGTCCATCCACAATGAGATCGAGTCCATCGAAGACTTGAAGGAAAGTGTTTCGAAACGCGAGAAGAACTGCATTTGTCTCTTCTTCACTGCCTTTGTCATCATTTACACGATCTCTGTATTGGTTTTCTATCGGTTCTATCTTGTGGTCAATTACTCCAAACAGAATATCATAGAGAATCTGCTTTGGCTCTTACCATTCATTGTCTCCCCATTCATGTGAGTTCTGTGCCCTCTTTGCCACTTCTTAGTTACTATCAATTGTTTGCTTGTTTTGCAGTTTTATTGGTATTAAACGTTTACTTCAATTATATTACCGATGGATTGGAGACAATTCAGAGGACAGACTAAAAGCATTGAAACGACAAAAGAAGAGGATTTTG